GGCCACCAATTATCAATATATCTTCGATATTTCGTGATTCATGAACATTATTACGTGAAGAATAGTGGCAAAGATGTCATGGTGAATGCTGTAGCGAGATGTTGCAGCACACAACACTTAAATGAGACCATATTTCCGGCAAGGGCATCTTCGTGTGTTACAGTCTTTTTTGAAATTACGAATGTCATTTTTGTTAGGTGTTTCAGTTTCATTATTTCTTCCATGCCAAAATTGAAACTATTCGTAACAAGAAATAGCGACAAATACATGTTTTCTCATGTTGCAAAACAATAGATGTTTGTTAAAACGTTTATCAATGTATCGTGAAGAATAGAAAAAATCTGCAAGGGTTACATGAACGAAGTGAGTGAGTGAGTTGGCTTTCAACAGTATTCCAGTTATATCACGGCGTGTCAGCTTAATGTGGGAGGAAAGCCCGAAGTGATGCAGGTCTCAGACGTTTACTACTTCAGGGAAACCCACGAGCACGGGTATGGTGCTGACAAACCTAGAGACATAATCGGGGCGAACCGGGATTCGAACCCACAATCAAAGGTTTCTGGCGAGCTCAATGTACGCAACTCTGCACAGCGAATGTGACTTGACTATTATAATGTGGAAGGAACAAATATGCCAATATATCAACAAATAATCAACATCAAATCAATGTTGGTCCAAATGTGTGAGTGTGTGAGTGTGTGTGTGAGTGTGTGTGTGTGTGTGTGTGTGTGTGTGTGTGTGTGTGTGTGCGTGCGCGCGCGCGCGTGCGTGAGTGTGTGTGCGTGAGTGTGTGTGTGTGTGTGTGTGTGTGTGTGTGTGTGTGTGTGTGTGTGTGTGTGTGTGTGTGTGTGTGTGTGTGTGTGTGTGTGTGTGTGTGTGTGTGTGTGTGTGTGAGCGAGCGAGCGAGCGAGCGCGTGAGCGCGCGTATGTATGGGTATCTATTGGGAAAGGATTGCACTATTTTAGGGCACACGTACAGTTTTGTTTGTTGTTTACCGCCGCACTCAGCAATGTTCTAGCTATATGACGGCGGTCTTTGAATAATCATGCCTGAACCACTTGTCTACGCACTGAGCACTCATGATCTACAGCAGCCAAGTCAGCGAGCCTGATCCCATAAGTCACCTCTTACAAGAAGCACTAGCTGTGGCCTCTTACGACAGGCATGTGCACAAAATCTATAAAATAATTAACACTGTTTGCGCGGCTCACAGGCTGTACTGCCACAAGAACGGTGCGTTGATACAGATAGAAGAAACTACACAAACATAACTTGGCATTACCATAGACTGCACATGGATGTAGTAGAATACTTCGGTGAAACCAACGAGCACGGGTATGGTGCTGACAAACCTAGAAACATAATCGGGGCGAACCGGGATTCGAACCCACAATGAAAGGTTTCTGGCGAGCCCAATGGAAGCAACTCTGCACAGCGAATCGCTGCGCGTTCGGTTCCAAATTCAATTTAGCGGGGTTAAATCTACAGGTAACCTAGCTCTACATTGAAAACACAGTATGTTTATCTCCTAATTAACAAAGCTATCATCAAAACGCAATTATGGAGGTATTTTCATTATGAAATAACTTTATAAATGTTATGAGAAATTGCCCTAGAGCATGCCCTAAAGAATTAATGAATGTTCGTATAAGAAGAGCAAAGAATTATTAAAATATACCAAATTTGATGTGAAACTATCAAATTAACACTGAAAACATTTACTTTGTATTTTATTAATACATATATACACAGTTGCGTATATTTTATCATGTTCAGCAAAGCATGAATGTTATTTTCCCGCACCTGTTGACACGTCTGATAGCATTACGACATGGGATTTGGATTTTTGTAAATCGGTAATATTCAACCATAGCACTTGAAATTAGGATTGAAAAATTAAGCTTTTACAGTTTAAATGTATTTATTATGCATAATAAAGTCACGATGTGGCTGACATACTGCCGATGTGAATTTATATTTTAACTCCAATCAATTACTATAACACTAGGTTCATGAATATTCATAGGGCTACTTCTACAGAAGGAGTGTTGCTTATTAAAGACATCTTCTCTTGACTATGATTAATGGACTGCTTCCGTGGTCTATGTGGTCTCTCTCTCAGAGTTAACTGACTTTAAAAGTCCAGTTTCCACCTTGGCCGAACTTGGCTGGAATTACTGGGCTCGATCGTAGCGCCACCTCTGGCTATTACGAGCTATGTCCGATCTATGCCTCTCCTATGGACCAATCAGATTCCACCTCTAGTATCACTTGCATTTGCTTCAAACAAAATGGCGGCGCCCAGTCAAGACGATCTGATTGATGATCAAGATCTATATTGTGACAAAATCACGAAGTGCATCAAATTACGTGAGCACCTTGATTAAAAACATGAAAAGCTTCAGAAAATATCCGTTGACAACGAGTTGGCAGTGCACATGTTTTGCAAATCCTTCAATCGATCGAAATCTGCATGACAGTTTACGAACCGGATTTCTATTTCGTTGCGCGATTTTGATTGGACTATGCATAGACTCGTTTGTCCAGCCAAACTCTAACTCCATAATACCAGTCTAGTTCGGCAAGGGTGGAAACTGGACTTTTATAGTCAGTTAACTCACTTGCCTCGGGAAGATGCGGTGTTATAATCCGGTAGTCATGGTGCTGCAATTTGCTGTGTAGAGTTACTTCCCTAAGCCCTGCCAGGATATGTTGATCACGGGTTGAATCTAGGAGTTTGAACGTTCCTGGGTGTCACCAAAGTGGTAAATGTATACCAGCTGTGGGCTGCCATCTCACATTAAGATGATATTACCAAAATACTGTTCACAGCGAGGTAAACCATCATTTAGCCGTTCTGAATTGTTAGCCCCGTGGTCATCCGGGTTAGAATTGGTGATCAGGCTCGCTGACTTAGTTAATATATGTCATCGTATCCCAATTGCGTAGATCGATGCACATGATGTCCATTAATGGATGAGCGGCGATAAATAACAAACAAATTAATGTCTACTGCTTGTAAATAGATTTGATAGGTTATATATTGTTCCACTTTTTGCTAGGTTAGAATACGTCTTCAGCACTGGATTATTTGGTGAAAGAGACAACTAAAATGGATCATGTGATCGTGTATGGTGTCCAAGTTGACTGACGGTGTGCTTCATCGTGCCTCCATGTTATGAGTGTTGCTCATGACAGTAATCAGAGAGCGGAAGGTCGGTGGTTGTCGTAGTCAGTATAATGTGTCTGCGTGGTGTGTTCAAGTTAAAACCTGTGACTTGGTATCTCAGTGGGCTAGCACCATATAAATGTCATTCGTCCAGACTAGCTCGTGTGGGCACTGATACAATGTGTCATATAACTTGCAATTCAATTCAAAGTGTCACATTTGCACAATATGTACGTAGGTGTTCTGCTATTGACTTTTTTAATTGTCTTGAATCTTAGAGCAGATTCTTCAATCTATTAATGATGTATTGTAACACGTCTATTAATTTTTTTTTTAAAATGTGGTAAGTTCATCCATATCACGTGCCGAAGCAATGTATTACCTAGCAACAGAAAACTGACCAGACAAGGTTAGGTCTAATCATGTGATTGACGCTGACCTTGAATATTCAGTCGAGCTTGACGGAATTAACCCCGTGGAGGCCATGTTAATTTTCTGACGCGACGTTTCTATATGATGCCGACCCATGAATAGTATACTCTGGACCAGACAATCCAGTGATTGATATTATCAGCAAAGATCCACACTGTAGGGGTACGATGGCATCCCTTCACCCAAGTCACCTATCCTTACCACCCGATTCATTGACCGCTTCTTGCCACCAGTATAGTTTGCTGGTGACCAATTCCAGTCTGGAATCCCCTAAACGTTAGAGACTAAATAAGATTCAGGAAATTAAGTACTTGTTTGTCCTGTAACAATCCAGGTATGCATAAATGATGAGATAATTAACATATGTAGTTTGACTATAAATATCACATGGATCTTTGTCTGATGGAATGAGTTGGGAGGTTCAGTGTATACACCTGTAAAACTTGTGTCATATTGCAGACCTGACACCGAACCCCTAGCTATTCAGGATCAACCAAGAGGGCAGGGGTTTTAACGAAAGAAAATGTCCCAGATTCTGCCTTAGGCTGTGGATGGAATGTATTGATACAAACTATGAAAAGGGTTGAAATAATAATAATGATGATGATGATGATGATGATGATGATGATGATGATGATGATAATAATAATAATAATAATAACAATAATAATAATAATAATAATAATAATAATATATATAATATTAATAATAATAATAATAATAATAATAATAATAATAATAATAATAATAATAGGTTGGCAATTAATACACTACCTATATGTATAAAAAAAAAATTGATATTATTATCAGCTTTAAGTATAATAAAATTGATGCCTTGTCATTCTGTGAAAGATTAAGATTCTCCAAGAGTATGGCTCATCTTAGAATAAAGTCACTTGACTGTCCTCAAGAGAGGGGACTTGAAGTTCGGTAAGTACAATGTATTTACTATTGGTTTCAAAACAAGTGACCATCCCCACATGTCACTACAACACGTAGTGTCTCCCTTCAGACACCTTCTTTGTTTTACTCTCGGCAACAGCGATATCATCCCTCAGGGAAAGCTGCAATTATGCTGAATTAGACGTGAAACAACAAACAGATTGACATAAGGACTGGTATTTGCATGTGTGAACACTGATGCCATGTCCAAAGAAGTCACACATGAAGGTGCTCACATAACACAGGTTAAACTAACTTAAAGGTAAACAGCAAGTTTTCCACATAGAGTGTGTGTATTAAATTTTAATACTTGGTCTCTGGCTAGTGACTATGAGTGTACATCTTGGGAATATGAATAATAGATGTTTCCTTGTGCTTTTGTTAAAAATCAAATATTGGTTATCGGATATGCATGATGAAACAACGGGCGAAACGAGACCATTGGCTTCAATGCAGGAGCTATAGAAATATTGTCAGTCACACTACGGGAGGACACAGAAGCAAGTCACCTTCGAGGAACATGGATGTCAAGTCCACTGCTGTAATCACAGGCTGGTTCCTGTTGAGTATATTTCAAGTATGTATTTGCGGAAGAACTTTTTATCACAGGGTGGAAAGTCTGGACAACAGGGAAGTAATGGAATCAGCATCTAGCTACCAGACCAGCGTCCCCAGCGTTGGCAAGTGTGCACGTCTTTGTCGCCAACAAGACTGTGTGTATCTGAGACATAATGGCGACGTTTGCAGTCTGTATGACGTTCTCGTCAACGCCAGTTCATCACCCGCCCAAGGAGCAGTCTACTATCGAAACAGTGAGTTCCTGCGGTTTGTTTTAACTTAACTCAGAAAAAGCAATACAGTGAGCAATCAATGAACAAGGACATAACCTATCGAAGTAGAACATATACTGAACAAAAATAGTTAGGGGTCATAAATAGGTAAGGATATTGTTTTATGAAATTGAGTGAAAAAAAATCACAAACACTGTATCATTATCTCTTTGTCCAAGTTTTTAATTAAGTGTATATTCGCATGCTTATCCACATACAATTAAATAATAAAACATGTTCACCTCCATGTATATATTGAGGATCATTCCTCGGGCAAAATCTGAATAAGCCATTATTCAAAATACTTGCTGAGGAAATGAAATTTTCTGATGCCATTTGAGTAACAGGGAAATGTTATAGTACGTTGACACTTTGGGAAATCGGAAGGGCGTCTTCGTTGTTGCGGTGTATTGCACCACATTCTAAATATTTAGTTCGTGTTTGTGTTAAAAACTTTGGTCATAAAAGGAGATTACGATGTATCACACTAAACAAGCACAATTAACGGTAAACTTCTATACCCATTAAAGCAAGTCTCTTGGACAGTGCATCCTGTACATAATCATCAAATAATTAGCAGATATATTCAACACTGAGTACATATGCACATGCAACTACAGTCTCAACCTGATGCTATCACAATTGGATAGTCATTCATGAACACATGCTCATGATTTAGTCGGAATCGTACACTCGACTCTGCTTTTGGCAGAGATTTCTTTAGCATATGCAAAGGGTTTTGTCGCTTTGATTTTCATATATGTCTGTCAATATCACATATGTGTTTCTTTTATTAGAAGTATATTAATGGTGTTCTTATACACATCACATACTCAAAGTATGTTCTTATCCGGCTGTCTGCAGATGTATAAAACACGGGAATGTTTAGTAAAAGACAAAATAGGAAGCTGCATCATGCATCATTTTGGTCATTGATGAATCAAATTTGGAAATGTTATGTCTACCATAACAGTTTTCTAGGGTTTGAAAGTTGTAACATTGTTTTCGTGTGTCGGGCTCTGAGATCTTCATTTAACGATATCAGATGATCGATATATCAAAAGCTGAAGTTAAACTTAATTCGCCAAAATTTTAATTACCTTGTTTTAATTTTGCCAATCCGAGCAAACATTCTGATGTATATGTATAAAGAAACAGATCAAAAAGAAAGGGAGCACACGTGGAGCCCAAGAGGATACTTACTTTTTGCCTAAATGTCCTATACCCAACTTTTACAGAGCCGGTATCTTTGAGGAGGTCCAGCATTTCACGTACTGCTTTCTCAGTAAAGTTCAGATAGCGTTTACGTTTTTACTAGTTTTTACAAAGTGTACCGAACCTGTAAAGATAAAAGTGTAAACATACCTATGGTCACCATGATAAGTGACAAATGTCTCATGCATTGTCACGGAGCTGTTCTCCAATGATGTCCAGGGCTGTCATAAAATAGTAAATGAAGTAATAAAGAAAAGGTGGTAATAAGTTCACAGGTTTATTAATAACGGCTAGTTGTACAAAGAGATGACAATTAAATATCAGACAAATCCAATCTGCGCTGACACTGATTACTAAGCAACTGTATTACAGTAATAAAATGAATAGCTAAAACAACACTTTCACAAGATATCGGCCAGATGCGTAGACAGTCAATAAAGTCGGCTGCGACCATTTAACACCTGAGTCAATTAATTCAACATTCAAATGAGTGAATAACCTCGGCTGGGTAAAATAACGCGACATAAACACGGAGGGCCTATCCCTGAAATAAGTCACTTCAAAATAGACGAACACGTCTGAATATTAACTAGTCTTAATCGACTTAAGTATCCGTTACTTTGACTGAACAAGGTAATACTAAAATTCCCAAATAACCAGTCAATCACTATAAGGTTGGTTATCCACGGATTACTGGGAAAACGGAGAATTGCAAACACTAGTTACTAAGTGCCTGGACTATCACGGGAAGGTTGGTTATAATTATCCACGGATTACATGCGAAATCCCATCCATGTACACAGAGTGCTAATCTGCCCTAAACTAGAATGTGGCACTAGCAGCTGCAGATGAGGCCCGTAAAAGTAATTTAGACATATCAATCTGTTTTCATCACCAAGGAGCCTTGAAGACTGGAGTTTGTTCTTGGAGTTTCATAATCCAACACTAACACGAGCTCTGTTAATTACAACTCTTAAATACACAAATAATCAGTCTCATAAATACTAGATAATCTATCATGTCACATGTCCACGGTACTGGCCAATATAACAATTTATTATATACATCAGTGTGAATGAGTGAGATTACTGAAGTTGAGAAAAGTCATATTTCACTGCAGTGAACATTGACGTCATACAAGAGTTACATCCCCGCCAATTATCTCCTTTTATCGTAAGTGTCTAGTCCGAACACAAACTGTTGACTTCCTTTTACGTTAGTTCCACATGTGTTCGTTCCACATTGGCAAGGCAAAATAATGATAGAAGGTCATTTATAGAGTTAATATCGCTTCTTGTCTATGTGTTCATTAACTTAGTGTAAATACATTTTATTTTCATATTCAGTTTGTAAAAAACATAAATGATTACTTCGTAACTCATTAAATGCAAGTCAGCTAAACAGAAAATGTAGTTCATCAAATTTACAAAAACTAGTATGAAATGATTCAATAGATTGATACATATGGAAACCCCATATTACCGCACCATATACTATTATCGGTTTTATTTTAATATCAAATAACTTAAAAAGAATATTAGAGGGTATATTTCGAAATTTATAATATAACTTTTTCAAGCAACGCCTTATTTCCCTTAGCAACCAACGTTTCCACTCCTTTAGTCCAAAATAATCTACTTGAAAATATGACTCCAAGGTAATAACTTGTTGTTTTCATAACCTTCCCATTAAAGTACGGCTTCTCTGTCTTTTGTAAATAACCTCCTCTTCTAAAAACTATTATTTCTGTTTTATCCACATTTACTTCCAAACCCCAGGATTTGCAATAACCCTCGAGGACAGCAATTTTACGTTTAAGTCCTATTACAGTATCATCCAATATGTACAGATCATCAGCATATGGTAAAAGTCGAATTTCCAAATATTCATGACCGACATTTATATCCCTGAGATTAGATTGTTCGAGATCATTCTGTGGTTCTAAAACAAACATAGTAAAAAGAAAGGGGCTAACCATACACCCTTGTCTTACCCCACAACTAAAATATTCTGTAACTGACCTCCTAGAAACCTTTACGGCACACTTTATTTTTGTATACATATATTGTAGCACTGTCAAAAGCTTTCCATGGATAGTCTTCTTCATAATAGAATACCATAATAATTTACAATTTTATAGAGTCAAAAGCTTTCCGAAAGTCTACAAAAAGGCAGTAGAAACGTCTTCCGCGCTTTGAAAGATATTTTTCAATTAAACATTGTAAGGTAAATATATTGTCCATTTTACTGTACCCGCCCCTGAATCCTGCTATTGCTGATATGATACGTAATCGGTGATAAATAACTGACATAAACAATTTACCAAACACATCCATTAAACTTATTCCTTTATAATTATTTACTTCATTGATGGAGCCTTTCTTGTGTAATGGTTGAATAATGCCCATTGCCCACTCATCTGGATAACAGCCAGTGTTCATAACTAGTTAAATATGACATTCGTCAGTCAAATATGGAATAATATGAGTCTTACAGGATATCAACATTTCCGGCAAAATTCCATCAGGACCAGCAGCTTTACCTTTTTTTAAACAATTAATGGCAAATTCTACTTCTTCACCGCTAATGTCAGCATTTAGAATTTCTATATATCGATCGTTCATACATTTGTCACAAGCATCTTCAGAATGGTTTGAAATAAAAGTATCAGCTGCATCCATTAAATCGTCATTAACTGGTATGTCAGTTAAGTTCAACACGTGTTGGAAATATTCAGTCCATTGTGAGGAAGATATTGACGATGTCGTCATATTACTACATTTCGTTAAATTTTTAACCTCCTTCCAAAAACGCTTATTATCCTGTAAACTAAATAGACTGTCAATCTGATTTCCTTCGTATTCTTCCTTCTTTCTTCTGCACATACACTCATGTCGTTTTCTTAATGTATGACAAGTTCTATGGTCCTCTAAATAACCAGTCTAAATGAAATGTTTGCTTACTCTTCACATTCAAATTTCTGACAGAAGCACAATCTTGAAATATTCCAGCCATATTAACATCTTGATAAATGTCCTGCATACATTCCCCAATAGTACATGTATTAAGGGAATCGGCAACATGGTTAACAAACTCATCTGCTACTACTTCTTTCCAATAGATCTTTTTATGATATGTATACCATCAACGTCAGCTATATTTTCACTAACAGATATCTTGGGTAAAGCTTCGTTCTTCAGCGAGAATACCATGGGAAAATGGTCCGATTCACAGCGGGGAAACTATACTTAAATCAATATTAGGGCGAAAATTTCGGATGAACAAAGACAATAATCAACAATACTGGCGCCACCTGTCTTAAAACATGTAAATGAACCATCGATGTCTCCTGGACACCGTCCATTTAACATATGTATATCATAGCTGCAACAAACATCAACCAGATCTCTTCCGTAGCTATTACACTCACTATCTCTACTTTCCCTAGGCATATCAAACTCATTTGAAACTAATTCCATTTCTTGGATACATGTCATAAACCTGTTATCATCGTTACGTAAATAATCGTGCATCTGCCCACGTCGACCATTGAAATCCCCCAGGGTAACTATCTTACATCCATCATTCATACACTGTAACTAAAATAAACTTTGTTAAAAATAATCAATACCTTGTAATGTTTTTGTATCTGTCGCTACAGAAGAGTTGATAGGTAGAACATAAACAAAACCTAAAATAGTATCCCATTCCCAATTAAACATTTTTTGTCGATAACTAAATAAATAATGTCCGTAAAATCCATAAAG